ACCTAGATTTGTTCTCCTGTTGGACAGAGTGAAGCTTAGCAGAGCACCTGTAAGCAGCAGAGTGTTCTATTTGGCTATTCAATGTATTTGAGCAGTTGAGAGTTATTGAGCAGTTGTTTTGCCACCCCCCTGCCCCTCATCCCTGAAAAAAATAAGAGGAAGGGTTGCAAATAAAAATCTTGAGTGGAGTTCTGTAGAAATTGGTCTTGCTGTATCTGTTGCAGAAACAGTACATATGTATTGGATCAGTGTCTTCTAATAAGAATCTACATGCTTTTACATTAAGCTGCACTTGCCATCAAATGAGACAGAAAGACCAGTTAAATCTCAGCAGTGCACAGACCAGTTGGTAACACATGGAAGCACTTCCAGTGTCTAACTATAGTTAAGTTCCCTTTTTACTTTCTCCTCCTTTAATAAAACAGTGCATTGGCCTTCAGCCTACACAGATACCCCATGGGATACATCTCGTATAGTATGTCATCATGGGGATGAAAATTGGTCCCTCTCCTCTGCTCAGCTAGTTCACACTAGTCAGCTGAATTGCTCAGAGGCTCTGTAATGCCCATAGCTGCACACTAGGCTTAAAACACTCCACCTAGTGAGTGTTTTAGGGACAAAATAGTGTTGGGGAAGGAGTGAAGAGTGCAGGAAAGAGCCATGCAACAAATCGTACTTTCTCCTCCTGCATGACTGTGAGACTGGTTTGTATAATGCACATGTATCCACAGATCAGACTGTACTGATATATCCTGTGTATTGGTTTGATATCCTGGTTTATCCCATTTTCAAAGAAAGAAAATGCAGCTTTTCCAAATAGTAAATTGAATCTTTAAATCTGTTCCGCTGTAAAGAAGGGAGGAAGAAGAGGGAGAATATGGAAGCCGAAGGCTTGTTGTATAAATTCTCATAATCTCATAATTCTTGTGATTATGGATGTGATACTGTCATGTTTAGATGAGCTAGGGCCCATATCTAAAAACTTGCAAGATATAAATAATGTTGTGCATGCATACATTCTCATATACATGTGCCTGTTTTTCGGCAAGGGGTGGCATAGAAATGTTATAATAATAATAATAATAATGTTCACACACCAATTTTCTTTCCTTTGCTGGCGCTGCTGTGAATACAATGCAGAAGTATGGTAACGTTAACATGGAGAGTCATGCTACTTAGTTTATGTTTCCAGTATAGTATCTAAAGGAAAGTTCACATACCTTTCCTGGGAATAAGTGTACATTTTCTATATGGTCACCAATCTAAACGTCATGTAAGCACAGAAGTGAATTTGCTGATGCGGTGGTGTATCTGAGTGCTACCTTCACCTGGGCTCTTAACCCCCACCTGCATGCTGCTTCTAGGTCGTACTAACACAGCCAAACATGTGCTGCTTTGGTGAGATGTAGCTGCTTATTTAGCAGTTGAAAAACCAGTCTGAGATACCTGGGAACATGCAGTGGCACAAATAAAAGTTTTTCTGGCTTTTCTCTGCTGTTTTAATTTGGCATCAAGCTTTTACTTTCAGTGCCTTTGCATATCACCTCAAACCATTTCTCCACAGCTGGCTCTGCCCCTCCCTTCTGTCTTTCAGCAGCAGGTTGATTGGATTGTGTGCAGAGCATCTCCAAAGGAAGAGCTGTGGATGAAAATGGAAAGGAAATGAACACTTGTGGTCATCTATACTTACATTTTAAGCCATTTTCTATTTTTATTTATTGTATTTATTTAATTTCTGTACTGACAAATAGCCAAAGTTTTCTACATTCCTATAGGAGAATTGTGAAGGTGGCCTATTTTGGTACAAGGGCCCTATTTTTTCACATACATGGTTACTGTGTGTGTAACACATAGAAGTTTTAAAAAAATAATTTTCGGCTGTAGCTTTTTGGCAAGCCAAGTCTCGGCCTCCTGATAAAGTTTCTGTGCATGCACTTTGCCTGGTATTTTCAATATGTAACTACTTTCCATATGATAGAGCTTGACAAGATTGAAATGACCCTCAGAGAACTAAAATTCTTAAAACAAAGTATCCTAAGTTCATAATGTATTCAAACGGTATAATTTGTAAATGAATGGTTATGATTATGGATGGATGGCACATAAGTGGAACACTTGGCATTAGCAATATAAGTCATTTTGCTAACCTCCTCCTGGATGGGTCTAATTAGGGGAGACTGAGAAGCAACTACCAATTACTTCATGGAAATGAAGTGCTGTAGAAAACTCAGAAGTGAAAATAAATCTTGTACTTTGTTTATCTGTATGAGCTATAGTTCAAGGTTAAAAGGAAAAAAAGCTTGTGTTGCAAGAACTCAGTAAAATAATGTTTTCTGTATTGCATTCTCTGTAGCTGTGATCCTTACTCCTAGAAATAATTGAAATATAATATCAAAAAACAAAACAAAACATAATGGGATACTTCTGCTTCCACACATAACATTGGCATCACAGATTATTCTTCAAGCAAAACATGGTTCACACTGTTCATAGACTGAATGTTTTCATGAGAGAAAACAACTAAGGTTTATGTATATAATTTCAGCTGGTTACTTTATTTCTTTCATGTCCATGTAGTTTAAGTGTTAGCTGAATGCTTGCCTTAATTGGAATGAAACAGAAAATACATTAAAGCATTATTATAAAGCTGGAAGTCTCAAAATTATCTTCTCAATGCTGATAAAAAGACCTGTTTTGCTGTCCAGTGACAAAAGAGTCCTTGTTCTGTGACTTTAACCCAAGGATAATTGTACTTGAGTTCAGCCAATTGAAACAAAACACCTGATACTGGGATGAGAAAACTGGATAGGAAGAACTTGCCAAAATGACACGACACTTTGGCTTTGCTTGAAAAAGAATACTTTGAGGAAGCTATCAAAAGGAATGCATTCTAAGAGCAAACGTGCATAACTGTCCTAGTTTAATCAGTTCTGTGATTCCAATTGACTATGGAAGAGATAAGGATGTATGTAGCAATAAGCAGACTAGTTCAGCCCTTAGCAGTTTCCACTACATCTTTATCTAATGCTAAACTGAGTTACACTCAGTGAAGAATTTGTTCCATGGGCTCAAGGATTCAAATGACTGAAATAGAAAGAAATGGTAAGGCACCCTGGTGCCCTCCACATGTTTTTGCCTTCAGTTTCTGTCAGTCCTAGTCAGCATGGCTATTGCTCAGGAAAGCTGGAACTTGTAATCCAAAACTTCTGGAGGATATGGGGGTGGGGGGCGGCTGGTGTATGGCATTGCAATTTTAGAGATGCATTACACAAGGATGGCATAGAGAATGCATGCATTCATGTCAGTGTGTCCTGCGTGAGGCAAATGGCTCATTTTACTATGCTGTGTTCCAACAAATGCATTTCTAAGGAGGTTCGCAAGAGGTTCACAAACAGTCAACACTTCTGAGTATTGACATTTGCAGTCATGAAGATTTACAAAGCAAATAGGACAGAGTTTTCAGGGGATGGAGTCCCTAGACTCAGGAGCACATTGGCAGCTGCCCAGAGAACGTCAGCTAAAAATGTAGTGTATAAACTAAAAGCCACAGCTGTTTACGCCAGCTAGGTTTTGTGCTGGTTGCTGAAGAATTCATTAAGCAGGTATTCTATCTTATTACTGTTCCCAGCGTGGGAAGTATGTCATGTATAAACTTACTTGGAACAAGTTTATTGCTACATCCACCGCAACAGCAAGCTATTCATCTTTCAAAGGCCATGTGTGTTCTGTTCTGCTTAGCTTTCAAAATAGGCTTTTAAGTCATAAAGGGAGTAAAATGCTCTTGAGGACGTTTATGGGCTAGGTGGGAATGGATGGTGAAGAACAACTTTGATAAGCGTGGCATGATGCTAGTTGGTTCATCCCAACCATCTGTCCTCCGCCCCTAGCAAACACTGCTCAAGTGCTTTCCTCTTGTCGAAGGGCTCTGCCAGTCCTGTTGCATCTTATCCTAGTTATCTTCTCATCACTTAACAAGGAAATACTACAAAATTCATTACCTATGTAAGGCATTTGAAGGCCTCTTCTATGGAGAAACTGATTTAAATGGGAAATGCAGAGAAGTGTTTGTCTGGGGCAGCTTTCCCCAACCTGATGCCTTCAGGAGGGTCAAACTACACATCTCATCATCCTCAGCTGGCAGACCTACTTCCTGTCAGAATAATAATGTATGGTGCCATACCTTGGCATTTACAGAAAAGATGAAACCAGTGTTCAAATAGTGTGCTTCTCCTGTCCCACTAGGATGGTTTACATAAGCTTGTACTTTCCAGCCTTCCCAGTATAAGGAATTATACATCTACTTTAAAAAACAAACACAAATAAAAACAGTGAACAGCAATATGCTTCTTATCTTTATCTATTCACTTTCTTCATTCTAAATTGCTTGTCTATCATATTATTGTACTGAATGGGTGCTTGCGCGCGCGCGCGCGCGCGCGCGCGCGCTCTCTCTCTCTCTCTCTCTCTCTCTCTCTCTCTCTCTCTCTCGGTATAACATGCACTCAGTGATTAGAAGTCCTATTGTTTTTCCTAGGTGGTGCTATCTTACTTGCCATTTTTATTTTTTTGGAAGGGGGTGCTAAAATACTTTCCAAAGAAGAATTAAGAGTTAGACTCTTAGGACTGTCTATCCTTAAAGGATGAGTCCAAACAAGGACTCACAAAATGAAATTATGAATAAGCCTGACTAAGGTAAAATATACTACAACAAATCAATTCAACTTTAAAAGCTCTGGGACGGCACACAAGTGATAGGAAAGAGAAGGCTAACTCATAATAGTGGTCTTCCTCCCTTGGGTGTGTTTCTACATTAGGAAGCAAGACATACAGATGACCACACAAGAGCTCTGGCAACACAAAGAATGATAGCACACTATTGAAAAGCTGATCTAGAGTGATTAGGTGTTCACACTGGGAATGAATATATGGCAGAAGGCAAACGGAGGCAACATTTGTCTCCTCCAAGTTGATGATTATCCATACAGTATAGAAGCAGAGCTGGGTGGCTGTGGGAGGCAGATCGCTGTCTTTGCCATCCGCCTGCTGTATTTCTGGGCCAGAAGTGTAGGAGGCAAGGCTCGCCTGCTGTACATCAAGCATAGAAACATGTCAAGGTAACAGAGGAAGGGTGGAACATTTTGTCCTTCTCCATAGCCTGCTCATTTTCCTGGCTGAAATTCCTTGCTTCCACCATTAACCAGGTAAGAGGTTAGCGAGGCTGCAGTGAATTCCGCAAAGATCTTTCTTTTCTGGCAGCAGCTTTCCAGTCCTGTGTGTTAAACATTGACTGCTGAATTCAGGCACCATGCAAAGATTATAAAAAGATTAAATGGATTTGCTTCTTGTTTTAAAATCACTGCAATTTGTTCTAAGGTCCGAACTCTGTGTAGTTTTCAGGGAATTCTGTCTGAAAAAGCCAGCTGCAGATTATGATCTGTTGGTAACTTAAGTATTTTATTAACATTTTTTCTTTGGCACAGCACTTCATATACACTTAACAGGGTTTTTCCAAAGCCAAGAGAAGAAAGAGACAGAATCTGACTTCGGAAAGGTGTTCAGCATTAGTACTAGGGTTTACATAACTGAACCAATATTTATTATCACAAATCTATCAAATATTTATCAGCATCAGGACATATATATGGGACTAAACTGATAAATGCACAGGCTATTATCAATAAACACACAAACCAAGGGGGACCCCAGGCTGACCTCAATCATGTACCATCATGACTTTCCAATATGCAATTCTCTTTCATAAACCATGCATTAAGCTATGTTACTATGGCTGTGAAAGCTGTTATATAGACCGTAACAGATACTGAACAAAAGGGTGCTTTCCTCTGCTTAAATATAAACAGTTTTTGGATGTTTTCATTTTTCAAAGATTATTTTTAAGCAAAATTCCTCTTTAAAATATATATTTGATGGGCTCAGGTATTTGACTTCTCCCTACATTAGATAGGCTAACTGTACTTGAGAAGTGTTGTTATTTGTAGCAGCCTAACTAGTCAGACTAAAATGCAGCAAATCTTAAGTTTACCTAGCTGAAGCCAAAATGAAACCTTAAATTTCTGAATCAGAGACTTGCTTGTTTGTTTAGAAATTTAGTCAGTTATTAAACTAACTCAGAAGTTAATGTTCACTTTTTGTTTTATGAAGGACATGCTAACAGCATAAAGATTCAGCAGAGTCCCCTTAAAAAAAAAAAAAGCGGGCCATATCTCAGTAAAACTGTAAGTAGATAATTAGTGCTAGAGAAAGTGTGATTATGGGGAGGTGAAAATGGGAAACGGGCTTGGAGGCTACCCTGGAGTTGCTTAAGGCCAGCAGTGTTCCTATTGCTCTCTGCTACCTCTGTTCCACAAGCCTGCATAGATGGGCTGTGGAACGGATTTCTGGAATTAGTATGGTGAATCTCAGACCCTTGCATATGCTCATCACAGGAATCCTCAAACCTATGGGGAATATAGTTTCTTTGCTATTTATTTGGGAGTTGGAGAAACTGTCATGAGCACTGTCCCCAAAATGGCTCTTATGGAGAACATGCTTAGACACATAATGGCTATTGCAGAGGCCTGGCCATTTAATCAAAAGAGAAGATCTGAGGAATAGACTAGGAGAGAAACTGACAGCTGGGGAGGGAAGAGAAATAATAGGGCTTGGCATGGAGAAAGGAGGAAGGATTGGGCTGCAGAAAAGGGCAAGGCTAGAGACTTGGAGTGAAGACAGGAAGAATGAAGAGGAAAGGCCTTGTGTGGACAGAGGAGTGCTGGGTGATCCCTGGAAGCAACTCTTCTGTTCTGGACTTCTGAACAGCCGATCCGTGGCAGGTTCAGGAACCGGAAGGAGAAAATGGTGCCCTAATGCTTTTCAAGATATTTTCAGATTAAAATATCAAATTAGAAGGGGGCACAGAGTGGAGAGCTTTGTGGGCATCATGGTAGGTCTTGCAAAGGGCCTCATGGGAAACTTGCTTGTCTTTCCCCATCTCAATATGTGAGTGGACAAGAGTCAGAGAGTGTCCCTGGTTGAAACAAGCTGCAGAGATGTATTTAATTCTCATTGAATTCATCATGACTCCATGAGGATCTTGTTGAGGTCTTGCCCGTTAGGAATGGGTAAAGTATTCTTTTGGATGTCCAGCAGATAATCTGTTTTAAACATATCTTTTCCAAATTCGCCATGGGGCAGGGCTGGGTAGTCTTTCATCTCTTCAGATTATGGACTATACTTCTGTAGTAACATTATGTAACCTATCTCCATTAAAATAGGATTCCATAGAGTTCCAATGACAATTGGCGTATATTCTTGCTCCAATTAGTAAGCAGACTGTTGGTTGTAAATCCTCTCAACATTTATTAAGTATCGTAGGGCTTGTTTGGTTCTGGAGATAAATTGTGCCCTATCCCTTGTTAGAGTGTGGATAACAATAATTTAAACTGGCTAAAGCTTGGACAGGTTCCTCTTCCCCTGAGCCCTAGCCTGAGAATTGAGAATCACATGTCTTTCTGCAAATTAAACAATTATGTACTGAGCATAGGTGACTGGCAGATTTTAAGAGAGTGAATTTTTTGCTAGGTTGATTTAATGAGTTTTTCAACTGAAGTAGTTGATTTGACCATTCTGTGGCTTCCATAGTATGTGAGGCATGCAACTTAGCTCTGCTTTTCAAGTGTTTGGTCTTGTTTAGGAGTGCTTTAGCTCTTTATTCTTAAATATTAATTCTTGCCATACCTGACATATTAAGCATTATTTATGCTACTGAGATGCAATTTTTAGACAGCAAAATTTGATATACCATTGGATTTGATCTAACCAGTTATGCGTAAGTTTTATTATGTATATCCCTGTGTATTTTTTTCCTGAGCCAAAATATGGCCTGACTTGTTTTAAAATACCTTTTGGCATGTATCAGTTATTTAACTAAAGCCAGTAGAAGCTTGCCGCTTGATTTTTGGCATCATAGATGTTCAGTTTTGTCTGGGCTCTGTTGGTAAAATGGTAGAAAAGTGTCTGTTCTATACAAAGCCAACTCATAAAAATATTTCTAGCTTTAGTGTAAGCTCTGTGTGTATGTGTATGTGTGTTTTAAAGATATAACAAATTTAGTAATGCCTTGGTTCTAATTTATTTTGTTTTAAAATAGACTGGCAGCTAAATGAGAAATACTTTATGAATGAATGCATGTCTGTAAATGTTATTTCTATAAGAAATTATTGGAACAAATTATTAACCAAACAAAATCTGAATTCTACTTAGAAAGCAGTTATATAAGCCCAACACATTTTATTCTTTGTATTATTATTGATAGAGGAGGTTGAAACCAAATAGGCTCCCTAAAGGGACTAATTTACAAACCCTCCTTATTGGTGCCCTTTCATTCATGTTACTTCATCTGCTCTAGAGTGTGGTCATTCATAAGGACTTGCAAAGTTGATTGCAGGAAAGACACTAACAGGTAGCTTTGTGCATGGACTTCTGGGCTTCTGCTTTTCCAAGGTCTGTACCAGGCCTCCTCAAAGACCTTCCTGCAGAAAGTTTTTCCTCCCTTAACTGTCATCCACACCAGCCAGTCTAGCAGGCTGGTGGAAGGAAAGCAGGGCCACTTCACCAGCTCCCTATGAAAGAATGATTCTTGCTCCAATTCCTTCTTCCTTTGTGCTTTTTAGATTATACGCCTACAGACAAGATTTGTCTTGTTTAATTGATTGCGTAAGCTACTTCCAGAGACTGTTTACCTGAGAAGTAGCATTCAGGAGCTTCTGATAATTCAAATTTGCACACGTACCAGGAAGGAGCAGCTGAAGTTCAATGGTAGAGCACATGTTTTGTATGCAGAGGGACAGTGGCTGGAATCCCCCTGTAGGAGTTGGATAGACCAAATTCTGAAATTTTGGGGAACTGCTGCCTGTCAATGGGGCCCTTGCTGAGCTAGTTGGACCAATGATCTTGGTATAAGACAGCTTCCTCATACTGTTGCCTGTCTCTTGTTGCCGCATCTGAAAAATTATGGCTTCTAGGAAGCCACTAGGATATCTTTCTGGAGCTATGGAGAAAGCTAAGTGAGATCTGTTTCTCTCTGACACACAGTGAATGGAACTAGGTTTTCTGCATGTTGGTTGTTCATATGTAAACTCCATTCTGAAGGCAAAATCCAGCAAGAACTGTTCCCTTTGCTGTTCATACAATGCTGGCATCAACTAAACTTTACAGGCAGCATTTTGCTGCGTAGTATTTATGTATGTGTTACCAAAACTGCATTTGGGAAGAATGTTCGTACTTTGGATTGGTCTGCATACTTTTCTGAGTTGATTTTGGTGTGCATGGATGTAGAGGAAGAATTGAGCATTTTGGCCTAGCCTATCCATGAATCAAAGACTAAGAAGACATCATCCTATTACATTAAACTCTAAATAACTTACCTAGCCTTTCCCCAGTATGGGGCCCTCCAGATATTTTGGAGTATAATAGTGTCTGTACTGAGTGGGATGATGGGACTTCAAATCCTAGCCATCTGGAGGATGCCAAGTTGAGGAAGACCGAACTAAACAGTGGCAGTCATTGCAGATGTTATTCAATGCTATACATGAAGTATAGAACTGAGTGAGCAGAGAGGTAAAGATTCTGTTTCAAGGGCTGCTTTCTAAAACTCTGTCAACAGGTTGAAAATAGTGAATCCTTTTTAAATCTACAAACAAGCAACAAGGTATAGACATATGAGAGATGTAGTTATTTGTAATGGTGATGGTCTCATTAGCTAATAAAGCATGGTCAAACAATTGCACATTATGAACTTCATAGAGTTATGCCTCAGTGGACATCCATTCATGGCAGATGTCCCAGGGAAAGAAGTGAACAGAGAATCCGATTTCTGTTTCTTGTAGACTTTTTGCATCAGACAACTAGAGAAAGCAAAATCAAGGTTACTTCTTTAGAAATAGTGTGTGCTTGGCCATAGATATTAGTACTAAGAATAATTTCTATGACAATCAATCACTAGGTGGCAGATCCAATAGTCAAGGTAGCCACAACTGTCAATAGGGTTTCCTGGGCATTTGTATTCCCACCCACCTGGCCTTAACATCACCAGTATATTGCAAGTGAGTTTGTGAAGAACAGCAGAATAAAAATTTAAGCAAGCAATGAAAGGGATAGATGGGAGGTAGGGGTGGGGGAACCTTCATGTATGTATACAAGTGGACTAGAACCTGAGGATGAAAGTCAGTCCACCCGCCCCCCCGCTCTAGAAAACACAGACCCAGTGCCATTCTGACCACCCAACAAATCATCCATGCAACATGCATTAGCCTGATGGTCGCTTTAGTTAAAAAAGAGGAGGAAAGAGACAGGTGCAGGGAAGTCAATTTGGAGTTTGGAAGAACCTTCCCCTGAATTCCTATCAACTCTCTTCTCTCTGTGAACTTGATTGCATTCCTTCCCAAATTGTTTTGAGCGGATAGAGCTTCAGAATGCCAGAGATCCTATGTGTGTGTCTGCTCCAGTAGAAAAAACCTTTGTGAACTTAGCATTAAACAGTTTGCCAATCAGCATTTTTATGTTTAGATAGTGTCCTTTGTTCCCACACATACTTTCAAACTGCTGAATGGCCTCGTTCTTTTATTGCAGCAGACAACAGATGTGCCATCTCAAATGCCGCACTGTGTAGCGCCTGCCTTGCTGTGGGTCCAGAATGTGGATGGTGCACGCAGGAGGTAAGCTGTTCCCCTATGTTACTCATTGTTACTTGTTTACATTTTAGCTGCCTTCTCTGCAAATGAACGCATCCTCTGGACTCAAGAGGACAAATCTGACCATTGTTGTGGAAGGTAGAGTAGCTTTAAACAACTTTCTAGAAGGCAGTGGCAGATTTGTTGTTAATTATATTTATATTCTACTTTTTTCCTGCAAGGAAGTCAAGTTCACTTACATAATACTTCTCCCCTCCATTTTATCCTGACACTAACACTGTGAAGTAGGTTAGGTACAGATATTAAGATCCCAGAAGCTTTTGATGAATGGTGTATATGTTTGTGAGTTTGATTCTACGTAGATATTAGAGCTGTGTAGATTCAAATACGAACACATGGAGAATGTTGTCCTTACAGTAAGCTTAAATTTAACTGAATGTCTGCATAGAACCCAGATGCTTTATAGCAGTGATGGTGAAAATTTAGAGACCGAGTGCCCAAACTGCAACCCAAAACCCACTTATTTATCGCAAAGTTCCAGCACTACAGCAAAACCTGAAAACTGAGGTTCTAGTTTAGTAAAAACAACTCACAGCCAGTCCAAGCAAATATATATATATCCTTGGTAGCATACTGACTGGCAATGTGAAAGATCAGACGAGTTGCGGCTAATGAGTCATGGCTCATGATGTCATCACTTGGCACCGCTAATCCTTTCCGAGCATGCCTTTTATCCGATGCTTGGCTGCTGGGGCGATGCTCGGGTGACTTAGATTGCATGCTGACAGAGAGGGCTTTATGTGCCTGCTGTGGCATGCATGCTATAGGTTCACCACCACTGCCCTAACCCTACCCTGGTGCACTCCCCTAACCCTCTATATAGGCTGAAAGTTCCATTAAAAGAGGGCTTTTTTGAAAAAGCCTTCCTTAAGTAGCTTTTTCTGCACAGCTCATCATTTCTGCCCATTCTAAACACATTCCAACCATCAAAATCATGGCAGAACATCTCGTTTTTCTAACCCTAACCCTACCCTGGTGCACATCCCTAACCCTAATATAGGGCTAAGGATCCCTTGAAAATAATGTGATTTTGAAAAAGACTCCCTTGAGTAGCTATGTCTGCACAGCTCATCATTTCTGCCCATTCTAAATGCATTCCACCTGTCATGATCATGCCAGGACACCTTGTTTTTCTAACCCTAACCCTGCCCTGGTACAGACCCCAAACCTAATATAGGGCTAAAGTTCCGTTAAAAGAGTGCTATTTTGAAAAAGCCTTCCTTGAGTAGCTTTGTCTGCACAGTTCATCATTTCTGCCCATTCTAAATACATTCCAGCCGTCAATATCATGCCAGGACACCTCATTTTCATAACCTTAAACCTGCCCTGGTGTGCACCCCAAACCTAATATAGGGCAAAAGTTCCATTGAAAATAATGCAATTTTGAAAAAGCCTTCCTTGAGTAGCTTTGTCTGCACAGCTCATCATTTCTGCCCATTCTAAATGCATTCCAACCATCAAAATCATGGCAGTACACCTCGTTTTTCTAACCCTAACCCTACCCTGGTACATGCCCCTAACCCTAATAGAGGGCTAAAGTTCCATTGAAAATAATGAGATTTTGAAAAAGCTTCCCTTGAGTAGCTTTTTCTGCACAGCCCATCATTTCTGCCCATTCTAAACATAGTCCAACCATCAAAACCATGCCAGGACACCTCATTTTTATAACCTTAATCCTTATCCTAATAGAGGGCTAAAATTCCATTATAAATAATGCGATTTTGAAAAAGCCTTCCTTGAGTATCTTTTTCTGCACAGCACATCATTTCTGCCCATTCAAAACACATTCCAACCATCAAAACCATGCCAGGACACCTCATCTTTCTAACGCTAACCCTACCCTGGTGCACACCCCTAATCCTAATAGAGGGCTAAAGATCCATTGGAAATAATGTGCATTTGAAAAAGCCTTCCTTGAGTAGCTTTGTCTGCGCTGCTCGTCATTTCTGCCCATTCTAAACACATCCCAACCATCAAAATCATTCCAGGACACCTCGTTTTTCTTTCCCTAACCCTACTCTGATGCACACCCCAAGCCTAATATAGGGCTAAAGTTCTATTGAAAAGAGGTCGATTTCGAAAAAGCCTTCCTTGAGTAGCTTTTTCTGCACAGCTCATCATTTCTACCTATTCTAAACCCTTTGCAACCATCAACATCATACCAGTACACTTTGTTTTTGTCATCCTTACCCAGTGATGGTGAACCTTTTAGAGATCAAGTGCCCAAACTGCAACCCCAAACCCATCTATTTATCGCAAAGTGCCAACAGTACAACAAAACTGAAAACTGAGGTTTTAGTTTAGAGGAAACAACTCACAGCCAATCCAAGTAAATATATATATATATCCTGGGCAGTGCACTGACCAGCAGTGCGAAAGCTGAGCTGAGTCGCAGCAAATGCATTGCGGTTCGTGACGTCATCGCCTGTCACCGCGACTCCTTTCCGAGCATGTGCATGGCCCCTATGTGTGCTGTTTCCGATGCTCGGCTGCTGGGGCGATGCTGGGGTGACTTGGCTAACGTGCTGACAGAGAGGGCTCTGTGTGCCCACTGTGGCACATGTGCCATAGGTTTGCCATCCCTAGTATATAGCAAACCCTTAAACCTTTATCTAGGGCTTTCTGTTCACAACTGTGAGCCCTGCTTTTATAGTGTTCCCAGTTGTGTGGAGAGAATTCTGTGAAAATATAGTTACGTATATATAGTTTCAATGGAGACAATTCAAGTGCAGTTTAAATTCACTCTCATTCTTGATCGGTCTTTCCTTGCACGGGACTATTTTTTCCATGCGCTAGAACCATGCTTAGCATTGAATATATTTAGTATTGATTAATTCAATTTCTAACCTACTTTTCCACAAAAAATAGTGACTTTTGGTTATAATGACAACATTATTGATCTCAGCTGATCTGGGATTCTATCAAAACTTTCCAGTGATTCACTGAACCCGTACCCTAACCTTAAACTGATGGAGTCAAAAGTTGATATGTTAGAGGTGTGGGTTATAGGTTGCAAGGAAGCACTTCTTATGCTATAATACCTCTTTGTGTTTCCTTTTTGGAAATGATTCCAGATCAGCTGAACATGCACTAATATGCATATTCTTAGACTTTGGGAACTGTCTTTGCAGCTTACCCAGGTTTATTTGACAGAGTTCATGGATAAGATTTTGCATGAGGTATTGGCACTGCCACCGTATTTTCAGCTGGATATTGAATGAGGCTCTGTCTCCCTCATTCCATCCTAGGGTCTCAGCTTATTAAAATGGATGGGGTTCCTCCCACAGTTGTGGGTGTTAGAGAGGTGTAGTGTACAACGTCACAGAATTACATTTTGATCCATTTTCTCGTGCTAAATTGACTTAATGGGGAAATAGAGATTTAAAAATTTGAAATCAAATGGTTTACTTTGTTTACTTTGTAAAATCCATGTTTACTTTGGATAAATTAGTGGGTGCTGATGATTTTTGTCATTCTTGGATTTGTATTCAAATATGATTTGCCTGCTGTGATGTAATGCTTACAACTTCATTTATTATACTCTAGGTTTGCTCTGGACACTTTTATGGTTTCAGAGTCTTCTTCACTATATGGAGGTGCACTAGCTATATCCACCAGTGATCCATGTCTATACATACTTATCAGTAAATATGATACACAGGGTCTTAAGTAATGGGGTATGAAACTGGGACAATTTGCCTAATCAGTCTATTGCTGCTTTAACAGGGATATCTGAAGCATATGTGGCTTTGTCATATTTAGCAAAAATTCTACTGTGTCTACTGTGTTCCATGATATCTCTTTAATAAGCATGTATCTAAGTTGGATACTTGCTGGATGTGTAACATGGCTAATACTTTTTTGATTATATGTTTTGTCAATGCCAATTATTTGCTTCTGAATGATAAGAAGTTATTACAGAGATAAACTTCGTATTGAAACATTCTTTGATACTTACTAATGCACATACATAGAATAAATAATTGAAATTACCTGGATGTTAACTCTTGGTCAGTGCAAATGGATTTTCTGTCCCCTTTTGACAGCTAAAGGACTAATACTAAATGTTGAAATGATAAGCACTTGCCTCCTATAGTACGACAGATTAAGAACCTAATGACTTGTTCAACATTTAATGGTTGGTATATGGATGCCACATGCAAATGAATACATATTTGGCCAGACTTTGTAGAAGTTTACAAATAAAACTTAGAAGGATGTATTTTCATATATGTAGTTATAATATTCATACACACGTTTCATATGGTTATATTGAAATATTCAAAATATGTAGTTACATTTTTATTTTTTCCATTTTGTTTTGTTTTGTTGAAATTTTATAATAAAAATGAATAAATGCTGGTTAGAATGACTAACAAAAAAGGCAGAGATTAAAACAAAACATAATTAAAATGAATTTTTAAAAATTAGTTAAAACACAATTCTGTGGCTATTGGTTGGCTTGGCTTGCCTTTGCATTCAATCTTTCCCTTATGAATTTCTCTGTTCTCTTGAACAAAGTCATAATGTTTTCCAGCAAATAAATTTGGCAATAAAACCAATTCAATTACGTACTTTTATAGCAAAATGCTTTTTCAGATGTCAAGTTTATTTTCTGGTCAATAAAAACATTTGTCTAGTGACTAATTATTCTTAAATAATTATTCTCTATCCTTGAAGTGTCTTAAGCCACAGGCTAAACCCCCCACCCCCCACCCCGGTTGTTATAATAAAAGAGGGCTCATAGCCTTGAGTGGTTTGGAGGCAGAAAAGTACAAGAAGTTCTCCCCCCGCCCTCATTTTCAAGTATTAACTATGAAAGCATTCCATGTAACAAGATCTCAAGTTACCATGCTGAAATCATTATTAGTGATTGGCACTAGCATATGCAATCTGGAACCTAAGAAAGATCTCAAAGAAATCATAGTACTCAGTACTATGATTTCGTATATGGGATACTATAATAGATACTTCACAGCTGACACTTGTCCAGTTACTTTTGCTCTTAGCTTTTGAAGTTTGCAGACTAGTTTTGATGTTCAGTGCAGCCTAGATAAAAGTTACAGAGATTTATAATATTCTGTTTTATGTGAATGGAGTAGATAGAGATAGTTTCTATCTTATACACAGGAATAAAAGTACATGAAATAAAATAAATATTTTTAGAAGTTGGGATCACCCAGTTGCTACTGATTAATAGTTTATTTGGAATAGACAAAATGCTATATTTCTTCACACATCTGACACTGTAATATTCCATGCATCTGATCAAGTGGGCTACAAATCATGAAAGCCAGGTTTCAACCAGGTTTACATAAGCAAAGAACCCATGGTCTGTTATCCATGGATTGTTTGTGATCACATGGGAGCAACCAAATGTGCCAGTTTTGCCCACTTGCCTGCTTCCTTTTTCAATTAACAACCCAATGTTTTAGGAAGTAAACAAACCCAGAAACTTTGGGTTGTTTAGGGTTTAAGTAAGCTAGGGTTAATTCATGGGTTGTTATTGGGCTATCCTGGGTTAATTTAATTTCTAAACAATTCTATATAAATAGAGTTTGGGTTATTGACATTACAAAACAACCCAGAAAGGGGACTCCCTCATGCCCCATGAATTCCTGAATTAAAAACACAGGATTTGGCATTATGTATGAACAGTCTCTTGCCTGTTTTGGCATAAATAATGCAATTCATTATTTCACAATGTGATGATGGTGACTAATTAGTCCTTTTTGTGGCTAATTCATGGAGGATAGCTTTATGAAAGACTTTAATGTCTGAGTACATGGACAGAGGCAGTCTTTTAAGTAACTTGGACACAACTGTTACAGGCATTAAAGGTCAGTGTGAGCATTTTACCAGTACAATTGCAAGGTAATCAGGAGCCAAGGTAGCTGGTGCATGATTTGTGCGTCATGCTTAAATGCCTGAGTCAATAAATGTAATAAAATATTGTTCATTTTATCCTGTACGCAGTCTTTTGCGGGTTAAAGATGGCCTAAAATATTTTTGAATAAAATTGATGTAAGTGCCCTCCAGCATCTAGGCTGATGTATTATTTACCCGCTGAAACTTCTGGACTAACTTCAAAGGCAGCCCCTTTAGAGTTTGTAGTGATATAACTGCACACTTCATTCTTTGTTTATATTCTGGATAGTCACTATGCTTGAAACACTACTTGAAGAAATTGTTGAAGTGAAAAATGCTCTAATGTTGTTACTGTTGCCTCTTTTAAAACAGGATTTCATGGCTGGAACGAAGCAGAAGGAACGCTGTGACATAGTTTCCCATTTAATTAAAAGAGGCTGCAGGGCAGATTTTATAGAAAGTCCTAAAGTCGGTGTAACAACACACAGCAATGACGTGAATATACAAGTGACACCAGGAGAAGTTTCAGTCCATCTCCGTCCAGGTTTGCTTTTGAAAAATAAAATACTGTTTTAATATGTAAGCTTTAGTCTGAGTGGGGTACAATTTAGCAGACTCATTAACAAACAGTGACCACTTCAGAACCTTTTTGAATATGCTAATTTAGTTAGCATTGTGTATTGGCCTGTGTACCAGTTTACCATTTTTATGTCTTTGGCTTCTGTTTAAATACCTAATGAGCTTCCCTGTTATTATCCATTGTCCAATTTCCCCTAAATGTTCCCTGAAATTGGATAATTAGAAGTGAATAGCTCTATATTCAGTCACCCTTCTGCTCAGCCAACTCCTCTAAATGACACTGCGTTTAGAATGCATCTGCTTGGGAAAGCTGCTCATTCTCTGAATTAGAGCAGGATGTATTAACTGAGCATATTGTGACTTCATTCATGTTAGGTTTACACAGGTATAAGCTTAGTCTGCTGCAAACAGTTGCTGTAGTATGATACTGCAGAATAGTGTAAAAGTCATTATTTGTAATGCTAGTTCCAGACTCTTGGGGATTTACTGTGATGATTTAAATGATTTTAATTTAAACAAAAAACTCTATTCATGGCAAAAGTATTTAATGATGTGGGAGTTGCCTGGAATGTTGGAACCTTTGCATGAACTTCATTTGTAAGACTGAATGCTTGTTGTGGTTTTAGCACATTGAACTGGCCATTCAAGATTTTGTTTGGGGAGATTACAGAAATGTTAGCTGGATAAGAGCAGGGCTTTTTCAGTGGACTATTCATAGCTGAATCACATATTGCACAGACATATTGAAGTCAGGCATTGTCATTGAGAAATCTGTGAACTTGCCTGAATCATTATAGGCTGAGGAAGAGCATCAACTAGTGGCTTCTCCTAGTTTCTCTGTCATATTCTCTTTTCTCACTCCGTTCCTGGTACGGTACTTGTACGTTGGCACCATGCTCTGAGCAGTTACATGGACAGGATGAGACTAATTGATAACAGAAATCTTAATTCATCGGCTTTCTAAACACAGCTGAGACAACTTAGAAACGTCAATAGATGTAATAGCGCAATGACTGTCATTTCACATTTCCTCTTAGGAATTACACTGAGGAATGCATACATAAGATTATCCCATTTTTCTTCTACCCACCCATAAAATAACTCTGGGGGCAGGATTAGACCAAGAATAGCAACATGTTCAAAGCAACTCAATCCTGTAAGAATATGATTATTCATATAAATCAAGGTGACTGTTTTGTTAACATGGCCAATTGTGGTATGAAAACATGACTGTCCCTTCCATGAAATGATGCTGCAATAAAGACAAGCAGTAATTCTGGTGATGGAAATGATTTCATACTGGACAAGAATGAAAGAAGTGCTGGGGAAAAGTAGGTTCTTTTGCAATCTCATTTGCTTTTCATTATCTCCTTTCAAAGAGGAGTATTCAGCAGCAGCAACAAACAGAACTGCTGTGACTCATTTGTTGGTCTTTGATTGAGGTTATGTTTTGTTTTTTTAATGGATAGAGATGCATAATGCTGTTTCCTGCTCCTCTCTCTAGTCAAACATGGCTGTAATCTGAGGCATTTTCCAATATTTTTCGGAAGAGTCAAGTGTACATGGATATTTTTGGTTCAGTTTGATACCTCTTCAACTGCATCACTCACAAATAATAAAGCTATCGAGAAAGTCATGGTGCCGGCTGTCTGATTTGAAACTGCATCTGATTTTCCCATTAGATCCATGGTATTCTTGGGGATAGAGGGAATAGTAAAGTTAATAAAAAGATGATCTCTGAAATGTAGAAAAACATTGTTTGGAGTAGATTTCAAAACCAGCTTTGGTATTGGAATTTATCCATCCTTGTGGAACTGGCATCCAGCTTTTTCTGTGTTAAAATGAATTATGTATACCTGATGTTCTCCTCCAATATTTAACATGGTATTTGGTTGTTTGGAAATCCCGTAGAAGCAGTGAGTCATTACTGTGATGCTGCTGGTGATGATGATGATGCTTGGATCTTGCCAAATGTAGTAATTTGCAAATGTATTGACATTGTCTTGACCATGAAAAGCTGATAAAGTAACAAGCAGCCCAACAACCTAAAGAAACCAATCACAAATGTTAAAAAGCAAACTTTAAAAGAGCAACTAATACCTACCCCTTCCCCCCCCCCACACACACACACACTTCTAATATTAACTAGGCCATCAGAAAGAAACAGGATTGAAAAAAAATTGCTACCCACCAAAGGCTGTTTTCAAAAAGAGAAAGTTCCTTCAGGTGGAAGGTCTTTCCAGGGTTTCTGGCTGGTATTGTCTCTAAAATGTGTGCTCCTTCTGCCCAGGATGTTGGGGCATAAATTCTCACTTCCCTCCATGGCAAGAATTGATGGTCCACTAGGAAGCTGGAACATCCCTTTATTACTGTTTCCTGCTTCAGGAAAGGTGTACAGGAGGTAGGGAGCAGCAGCTCTGGAAGAGACCTCTGTTTGTATCTAACTGGAAAGAGGGACCTGCTCAACTTACTTTCTGAGATTGAACTGGGGCGTCTGTTTTACAGTGTCTTGCAATATGGCTGCTTATTAGTGTCACAAACAATTCTCAGTATTAATTTTGTATAATTTCCAAATTAGAATAAGTGCAGTATCCCCAGATGTTTCAAATGAGCAATTGTATGTATATCTTAACACATTTTAAAAGCAACATTTTTTATCTTTCTAGGAATATTCCTTATTTTTAATGAACAATTGGAATACTTCATAGATTGTTCCAACAATTCTTGATTCTTTGAACAAGTTGATGTGTTGTAGAATTGTAGTTAGTTTGGAATTATTTTTTCATTGATCCCAAGCATATTTGCATTTTGTTATTTTGAACTGGATGCATCTCCTCTTTTTCTTTTCTTCTCCCTGCACAACCAAAACTTAAGTAACCAGTTCAAAATCTATTGATCTATGATCAGGTATTGAGCAAATGTGCTTAACCACAGTTTAGCATTAGTAAAATGTGGTTGAGATGCAGATGTTAACCATCTGCATCTTGTTAATCCAATGTCAAACTGGTTCAAAGCACAAGTTGCATTTTCCATAAAACAGAAACATGCTGAAGAGCTAATTTGGCTCTGTGCTGAATACGTCAGATCATAAGCACAAGGTTTATTAGGCTTGGTCTGGTAATGCTGTAGTTTGAATGATGCCTACCTCAGAAAGCTATTGCAGACAAGAAAGAGGAGAACTTCCAGGATTGCAGTTCTCTTGTCTGCTATGTAGCTTCTATCCAGATAGAAGAGCTGCTGCCAGAACAGTGGCACTTATCCAGCAACAAGTGTCCTGGAAACAGTGAACTGGAGAAATACTGTTGAACCTAAACTGGAACAGAACCTAAAGCTGTAGTTCAACTTCCTGATCAAGGATATTCCATTTGTGAAGGAAACAAACAGACCCATTCAGAAACTGCCAACCCTGAGCTAATGACTGCAGTTTATATGCAAATACATCCCCATTTTGCGTCATCGTTTGTATCACTTCCTATAGAGCCAAAGTTCGTACTTTGAGATCTAAAAGTGATGTGTACACAAGATTACTTTTTAACATTTGAACTTGTTTACTGTTCACCTTGAACAGTTTTTAAACTAGTTCAGTTGCAACTGTACCACAGAATTGTCGGGGTCTTGTTTTGGTAGATAAACTTTGAATAAAGATGCACTTTCTTCGTAATGAATTCAGTAGAAACAAATGTCAACCCATTCTGTGTTCTTCCGCTATGGGTTTTTGTTTTGTGATCTTCTATCTGGCCGTGCACCTTCTTTTTTCCTTTCACATTTTATTATTTCTGCTTTGGTTCTAGAAGAAAAATATACTGACACTATGATCGAACCACAGACCACATATTATGTTTTGGCTTTGTAATTACAGAGTTAAGTTACAGAGCAACTTATATCAGCTTTAACCACCAGCCTTGCAAGAACATAGGAGAGCTCTTCTCTGAGCCTTTAGAGGGTCCCATGTATCTGTTGGGGGAAGATACGGAGCATCCTGTCAACTGCCAGCTGAGCAGAGGGAGCAGAGCTTGAGGCTTTTGCCCCCTTACAACTTCTGTCACAGTCCTCTTCTTTCACAGTGATAGCAACAGAGTGGTGATTTCTGCTTCAAGATGCTACTCCCATTTCCTTTCCTAGCCACCATCTGAATCTGGTAGATGGTGAAAATGAAAACTCAGCACGAAAGGGAGTAGAAGAAAGTTCTCTTACTACTAGCCTCCTTGGCTTACAACAACAGTATACACGGGAAGGCAAAGCTTTTTAAAAAAAAATCCTTTTAGTGGGGCAGAAGAATCAGAGGAATGAAAAAGTTGAGTGAGTGGACTTTTGCTGCAGAAGGAAGTCAAACCTGCATGCGCAAACACATGTGTGTATGCATCATTGCCAGGATTTTTCTTCACAGAAATTCTAGCTAATGTTTTATGAGAAATGATCTTAGTGCTCCAATTTTCTGTTCTTGCTGTTGAGCAGAAAATACCCACCTGCTTTTGCAACCACATTCAGAGATTGTGAAACATGGGTATTTATTGATGTGGGTGAGGAAGGAAAAAAATCTAGAAAGTGTGGACATTGTCAGAAAATCAATGGTGTCCTTTTTCCTGGGTTGTAGCCTAGCTGTGTCCTTCCACATCATTACAAGTCATTTTGGGGGAACATGACCAAACCATGTTTAGGAGACAAGTAAAATCAGATGCCACTTTTCTCAGTAAACTCTAGCCCATGACAAAAACCTAGACTTTCTCTGTTTGCATAAAAGTGTTCCTTTTAGAATGTTTTGGTTAGCTTTATTTCCCAGCTGGCTTTTCCTTAACTTGTCTTGGTTCTGTCATTTAGACACAGACAAACAGTGACAGAGGCCTGGGACAGACCATTTCTGCCACCTCCCCACTATCCAAGGACTCAACCCATGCCCTCTATTTAACAATCTGCCCTGGTTGCAGACAAGATTTAGTGCTGATTCACTTGAAACAACTACACCAATCTGGTTGAAATAATTAGAAAAGAAAGGGTCAAAGTGGTAGGATATAACAGAGGATGGGAAAGAATAAAAACCAATAAAAGGATCCAAAGGTAAAATGCTAAAACAAATGACGACCCCAGTTCCCAAGAGTGCACTGACTCTTCCGGTCATTGTCCCACCAAAGAAAATAACAAAGCTGTCCCTACTTGGCAATGGGTTTCCCACAGGTAGAAGTCCAGCAGAACTGGTCATGCAGAAAGTCCCCAGAAGAAGACAAAAGACCCATCCAAGACCCTGCATTTTATCCCCTCTTGGCAGCAGGGTGATCCCTAGCAGCCAGTCCCATGATGGCCTGCCATCTTACCTGGTGTGGCCAGTCTGGTCTTTATCACAGTGTCAAGCAAGCAAGCAAGCCCTGAAAAGGTTAAGGACATAACACCTGGCTGGTTGCCCTGGGAATGGAGTTCTCTCCTCCTCCCTTTATAAGCCCTGGGACCAAATCACCCAGCTTTCCCAGTTTTGTTGCCAGGCTCACTTGGGAGAAAGAAAAAGAGTGACCAATCTAATTAACCCTTTGGGCTCCCATCTCCGAAGGTTATTCACACAAACTTTCAGATTTTTTTTGAAAAATAGACTACATGGTGGTGAAGTTTGTTACAGAATCAAATCCCAACTGGTTCCTGCCCACAAGTTACTTATAATGAAAACTAGGCAATAGGAAATGTAAGGGCTAGACTATGTAAGAATGAATGTATATACATACATTTTCAAGTGCTCAAAGCTTAGTTACAGATGGTAATTAGGTTTTAGGGAATAACCCAAGTGAAACTGAGTTTAGAAAGAAGATAGGCTTCTAGAACTTAGTATTAAATGTTGAATAAAATACACAAATATTCCAAAATATTGAGTATAACTTTGCTTTTTACATCAGGATCTGAAACAAGTTTTCTGCTGAAAGTCCACCCACTGGAAAAGTACCCTGTAGACCTCTATTATTTGGTTGATGTGTCTGCATCTATGCACAAGAACATTGAAAAATTAAACTCTGCTGGATTTGATTTATCTCAAAAGATGGAAAACATTTCCATTGATTTACGACTTGGATTTGGATCATATGTGGATAAGACAGTGTCACCTTATATTAGTATTCATCCAGAAAGAATCCGTAATCAGTGCAGGTGAGTAAACTTAAATGAATTTCTATTGCACAAGTGAAGACAGAACACATCCTAAGCTAAACCATTTGAGTCTAAACCTTTAGGAACAATAGGATGTAAAATAAATGAGGAAAAATAAATGAGTTGCTGCAGTGCCTCTTAACTTCTCGTAAAGTGGCAAACATGCTGGGGTAATTGTAATATGTTTCCTCCTATGATGCTGGAGGAGAGCTGTAACCACCCTAGATGAAAGAAAGATGAACAAGTGGATCCTGGATCAAATCGAGTCAGAACTTTCCCTAGAAGCAAAAATGAGAAAACTGAAGCTGTCATACTTTGGGCATATCATGAGAAGGCAAGACCCAGTGAAGAAGACAGTGAGGAGAAGAAGAAAGGGAAGATCAGATATGAGAACTTCAGCTTTGAATTTACAGTAACTGAACAGGGCTGTCAAGAATAGAACATTTTGGAGGGCATTCATTCATTGGGCCTTCCTAAGTCAGAGACAACTTGATGGCACATAACAACAACAACAACAACAACAACAACAAGAACAACAAAGCTCACTCTTATAGAACACAAACCTATTCAGAGTTGGAAATATTTCATTTTTATTAAAGAGGCAATGTTCTTAAAGTAATAAGTTTGTAGAGGTAGGTTTTGTAGAATAAATATTATGCACTGACTAATTAAAACTCTGCAAGTTGATCATAAGACAACTTGTTTTTATGTAGTCTTCTAATTTGAGTGAAAGACTTAAAGCTGTCACTAATGACAGTAGAATATGAAGCCATAGTTTGAAGCTGACTTAATCTCCTGGCTTGTTCTGAAATAGTTAATCATAGTTTCCCAGTTCAGACATAAAGGGTAACTATAGATGACAGAAAATTTCCTAGTTTGTTTTCTGGTTTGCATGAAGAAAAGACAGGTTGCGTGTGGAGGGACAGGGCTTGTTAAACTGAGATACAGTAGCCAAGTAACTATGTTACAGCTAACTGATGCTTATGCTAAATGTTTACTTAAAAACTGCTCAATTTTGTACTTTTCTTCTTTTGCCAAACAGTGATTATAAATTGGATTGTATGCCTCCTCATGGTTATATCCATGTCCTTTCACTGACAGACAAAATAACAGAATTCAGAAATGCAATTAAAAAGCAAAAAATATCTGTAAATATTGACACACCTGAAGGCGGCTTTGATGCTGTGCTTCAGGCAGCTGTGTGCCAGGTAAGAGCTAATTGATAATTTGGCCAAATCTCTGTATGTTATTTGTCTGCTTCATGACAGTCTAATGTTGCATGCAGATAATGGTGCTTCAAAAATCCAAAGGAGGTTTGTACATTGTATTTGGTTCTCAAGTCAATTTTTTCTTCCTGTGTCTATCAAAGTGCTTTAGCAGATATATTGAAGGCTTGAACAATGAAGGGGGTCTTCTGTCAAAGAAAGGGAACATTTAGATGCAACCCATGGGGTTTCAAACCCTATTAAAATATTACCTATAAGAGTTTCTCAGCCAGTGTAGAATCTTGAAGTACATTTCTGTGTCTCTTCTTCACATGCATTTTCCCATCATACAACTGAGTTCACTGTGTCTTCTTTTTTTTAGAGCCATATTGGTTGGCGCTCAGAAGCAAAGCGGCTACTTCTCATGATGACAGATCAGACCTCTCACCTGGCTCTTGACAGTAAATTAGCAGGGATAGTAATTCCTAATGATGGAAACTGCCATCTGAAAGATAATGTGTACGTCAAAGCAACCAGTATGGTAAGGTATATGTCATATATAGTGTTCACTTTGGACTTCGGTTCAAAGCCCAATGTACTGAGATGTTCCTCTGCTGAGAGTCATGATTGCCTGCTAGATCCCTCCTCACTCAATTTGTTTTAGGGTCTTTTATTCAGGAAGGAATATACCAGTGTATTTCTCTCCCCCCCCCCACCCCCGATTGATGCACTGTGAGTATCTTTTGGGCATTGTAATGTTTTGTGCTGGAAAAGGGGGGAAATGGATGAAGCAACCTGCTCTTAACACTTCTTCTTGTGCCTGTTTCAACTAAGATTCTTGTAACAAGGACAATGAGGGTGCCTCCAGACAGTGGGCTCCTAGCAGGAGGAATTAGAAAGTGCTGCTATTATGTCTTTTCTTTGTGAATGGATTTTCTGCAGTCAGTGAAAAGAGAGAAGTATGGAGAAGAGACAGAGGAGAGTTACAAGCTGAAGACAAAACCAAGGCTTTATAGTGAGATTCTTTGACCTGTTTTCCTCCTGATTTGCTTTTCTCAGCAAACCTGAATCAAAATATGTTTTGCCAGCCAGCCATCTTTTTGTCTGTCTGTTGGTTGTGCATGTAGCCTAATTTTATCACAACTCATTGCAACTCAGAGTCAGAGTCGTTGCAACTCAGAGATGTGTTACAAATGTAATAATATGACAGCCGGGAAATATGATGCTTATACATGGATTGTTTTACTTCCTCTTTGGCAATCATTTATTTATTTATTGAATCTAAAATCATTCCAAATTTGTTTGGAAGCCACACATTAGCATCACTCTTTCTGGATAGCCATTACAATAAAAGCACCAAAAGTAACATTAAAGAATAATAAAATTAAAATATCATACTCAACAGGATCAAATAACATATACATAGTAAAATAAAAATGAAACTGAAGTTAATATAGTAAAACTGGTGCAAATTCATATAAATAATCTAAGTTGTGCCAGAAGTGCGCCAGAAGATAAAAAAAAAATTTCAGGTGCCTAAAGCTCTGCAAGGTAGGCACCTGATGACTCTCTGATGGTAGAGCATGCCATACCTGGGGTGCGGCCACTGCAAAGGCCCTCCTCCTTGCTACCTCCCCTTAACTTCCTTAGGGAGAAGAACTCATAGGAGGGCCAGTATTGGCCATATTCATAATGTCTGGTATTGGCGACTGCATCATACTGATGCCTGGCGTGGGGAGTTCCATGTCAATGCCATTACAGAGTGAGACTGCTGACCTTGTTTAGGGAACTTTTCACACCAGTGTGAATGTTAGCTCTTCTCAAACTTCCTTCATGGTGGTTGCTGGATTTATTCAAGAGAAAGCTAAGCCAGAATAAAACAGAAAGAACTGACAATTTAGATTTTATGTGGTTCATGAAGTAATAAAATACCAGCTCTTGAACAGTTTCTTATATGAATCATGTTACCCATGTAAAGGTCGATGGGTAGGCAAGATGGAGATGTTACAGCTGGAGATGGAGATGTAAATATGGACATGTAAAGCTGACAGATCAGTAATACGGGTTATTCACAAGGAGTGTAAATATATCACTTCCCCACAAAGGGCATGGTAAAAAGAGGGATTAACAAGAAGCAAATCTGAAGATACAAGAACAGCCTTCTTGTTCTATGCCCAGATGCTCTGTCCTTTATCTCATAGCCGTGTGTGTGTGTGTGCGTGTGCGCGCACGCACGCGTTCACAAGTGACTGGCCACAATTTTCCCATCCCTAACCAGAAGATATCTTTTCACTAGAATAGTTCCTCTTGATGTTGTGCTACCCATGCATGTGAAAGAATCATGAATACAATGGTATTTTTTCCAGACCGGGAACTCCACTGGAAATAACTTAGGGGGGAAAAAAATCACTGCAAAGGAATGAATATAATCTAGCAGGTTGCGTCTGAATGGATGGTTTTCATATTTGGGAAGAGGCTATTCAGCTCCATTGTATTCCCACTGAGAGAGCAAGTTCCATCTTGGAAATTATCCAGGATTCCATTCTGTGCATACATCCTGCTATGGCAGTCTGGGCGAGAAGGTTCCATGACATGCTAAAATCTATATTCATACAGTAAATTTGTCACTGCCGAGAAGGCACTGAATATCTGTGAGCACTGTGTAGAAGATCTGTGTAGAAACTGATGTGGTAACACAGCATTAACAGGAACAGATTGTCACAAGATTCCATTCCAAAATAAATATTGTGGTATTCAAAAAGTTAATACAAAATACTGCAAATGTTTGGTAGTTGCATCCAGCCTGTTTCTGGAAATTTGTTTTTATTCAGAAAGTAGAAAAGGAAAAATACCACAGGCTATGATTTCACTGACTTAGTCTTAATGCTGGCCAGAGACTGGGTGCCCTTTCCCTTCCTATTTAGCCCTCCGCCTTGCTCAGCTTATTATATGCATTATTTTCTATGTTATCCAAAATAGCCAGGCTTGATAAAGCATGTCTCTGTCTAAGTTACATTGAAAAGGAAACAATATATCAACAAAGGGTGTGATTCAATGCTGGCTGGGGAATTCTGGAAGTTTTAGGACCTTTTTCTGTCTAAATATGCATAAAATTATGCTCTAAAAGTAGGTTTGATGTGTATACCTGCAATCACCTACGAGAGACTAGACATAGACTAGTTGCCATGCAGTATAATCCATACTGAGAAGGTGTCAAGGAAATTTTAGGAAATGGACAACATTTACTGATAGGCACACCACCAGCTAAAGAATATTATTTTTTCCCCTGAGCGGTCCACATCACCTGCAGTGTCTTCTATTTCCTCATCTGGTTAACCCGTTGTGCGTGCAAAGAATGGCATGAAATGTGGACCCAAAGTGACATCAAGCTCACGTATGAAATGTGTTACTCTTCTACTGTAAATGAAAGCTTTGATCAGAGGAATAGGGAAGTATCATGAGAAAAGGTGTATGCGTATGCTTGTTTGTGTGCATTCAACAGACCTACAGTTGTTCCCTTAACATCGGCAAAGAGAAATACAACTTCTTGTGCCTGCATTCTTCACTCTGCTCTTGTTCAGCAGTAGATTTAAAATTTTCTCTGTGTCCATCATTTTGGTATTCGTCTGTTCACACAACTTGTCTTTCCAGTAGCAGCCAGATTTCAAAGATAATATAATTTCAAGCATTTTTAATTAGAGCTGACTCAGATTCACATTTATATGCAATGACTGAACCATACCTATAATTTTAAAGGATGCCTGTGCTAAATACTCAGTGTGTTGACTTGGCAGAAGTATGTTTTCAGGTGCATCCTTCACATATTTACACTGTTCAGGGAGTTGATATTTGCTAAATGAATTGAATGGATTCATTCATACACCTGGCCATTACTTTGTCATCTATCAACTTGGCTACAATGGTGGGAGGGTAGCAGATTTTATGATATGGTAAGAGACAATGATTCTGTCACTTTAAAAGGAAAACTGGATGGCAGGCATAATAAAAGGAGAGAAGGGATGGCTTATCCACTTTGACCTTTTGCAACTTTTGGCCCTGACAGATGAACCTGGAGGGAATGTGACCTTCAACAGAGAAAGAAAAACATTGTTTTAAGAGAAACAGGGAGAGGAAGAGAGAAACAAAGAGGAGGGAGGGAATGAACAAGAGGGGAAACAAAGCAATACTTAAAACTGCACAGTAGCATGTTCAAGGTAAAGATGGTTGAAAAGACTACACACTATTGACCTAGTGTGCATCCATGTCAGCAGTTAGACATAATTTAAGATATTGAGTGATAACTGCAATTGCAGTTTGATTAGCATAATTTGTAAATATGCCCTAAGTCCTGTTCTAGTTCAGACATTCATAGAAAAGTGTAGAACTCTGTATACTTAAGAATTCTTGTTAATTTTGTATTCATGGCATTCTTCATATCGTATTTATCTATAAAGCCCACACTGTGTGTCTCCTTCTGCGATTTACAGGAGCATCCATCTCTTGGTCAACTTTCTGAAAAGCTCATAGAGAACAACATTAATGTTATATTTGCAGTTCAAGGAAGCCAATTTCACTGGTATAAGGTATTTTTAAACATCAGAATTTTATCTTCTTTAAAGGCAATAGATAAACTGGCATCATAATTGTGATTCTGTTTTTCCAAAGGACCTTTTGCCTCTACTTCCTGGAACTATTGCAAGACAGATAGAGTCACAAGCAGCAAACCTTGGTGATTTGGTGGTAGAAGCCTATGAGGTACATGTTTTGAACTTAATGTACAATTTTTTCTTTTTCTTTAATGTAAAAAGGAAGCAACTAATTAAGTTGTTTGGGAAGCAGCTAGCAAAGTGACTATTCCTTGGCTTCCTATAAAACCACAATATGACACGGTAGTCATGGAGGCTATATAAATACATTTTAATGTGCATAAAGTCATTTTAATAATGGTTATCTTGCTAAATTTGTTTGTTTTACCTCCAAACATCATTTTCATGATAACAATTGTGTCATGAATGCAGTCTTCAAGCAGAAAGACACTGCTGTCAGGTTTGGACAAAGTGGCTGGGTTCTCATGACCTGAGATTCTGTTATGCAAACCTGCTATGGCTTATTCAGAATGACTGATTAGCCCACTGGGATAGACATACACTACCCTGACAAGCCATGGCTTCTTGCAGGATTTAGTAGCCAGCTTTGAGCTTGCCATTGTTATTCAAATCCAGGTGATAAAACAAGCCCAGGTGTAGCCCAAACTGCAGAATGCTTGGCAAGAAATACTGGATAAGCCACTTGGGCACTCTGGGGGTGACAGTCAATGGTTTTCCTCACACGCCATGCTGCAACACCCCAGGCTGAGGGGAGCTATAGTTGGCTCTACTGACTCAAAGCCCACTGAGCCAGTCACAGTCTCCACTAGCCCATTCCACCACCTCCATCCATTGGCAGCTTTGGGGAGATCAAAGAGTCAGCTGAGCTGAGCGAGGTTCCCCCATCCCATGCTGCAATGAGAGGTTGGGCCACACTCACATTGGCCTCTTCTAGAAGAAGCCAAGCAGGCTAACTTGTGTTGCTCAGGCAGGATACCACAAGGCAGGAACTGGATCCAGAAAGGGTCAGGCAAGAAGCAGGAGCTGAAGCACAGCGAACAGGAGGACTAGCACTGGTGAGACCAACACTTGTTTTTGTACAGCTCTTCCCCCAGGTATCCGAGCTGGCACTCATCGGCAGGCTAAGAGCTCCAGCCAAGCCTGGGCCCAATCCTACAGTTACAATGGTAGTCATTCTAGTTGGGGCCACCAGCTGGAGCCCCAGAGCTGCCCAGATCCTGGCACAGACATGAAATGGTTACCACCGTCCTCTTGGCCGATTGCAGATGGGGTGATCTTGGCATTTCAGTTAGGAATTCTGACCCTGCCTCTTCTCCCTGTTCAGATTCATATCCTGAGGTAATAACCTTGGAATGCCATATTTTACGAGGAATGGATCTAGTCCCTACAGCTGCTGCCCACTCTTCCTGCCCCACTGACTAATGGTGGTGGGGAGAGGGAAACCTAGATGCTGCTGTGGTGTCCCGTGGCATGCCGAGCAGAGAAGAGGGGAGAGACAGGGCACCCTGCCCAAGATGCGTCTGATTGCCTGTAAGGGCACATTGTGGGTCAAGTGGCTTCCAAGCCCCATTACAGCAACCTGACTTGGTGTGTCATGTGGCCCTGCCCACTGTGCCCACCCTCTCTAAGTGAAGCCTCACATCATGTGCACTAGCAGAGAAAGAAATTCTATTTTTACTCAATGTAGTGCTCTGAGCCAATCAGCATATTCAAAATATTCATTTGGTACAGCCCTGTGCTACTTAAATCGGTGTTCTGCTTCTGGTTTTAATCTGGTTTCTGACTGTCTTGCTTTGTGCCATTTTTTAATATCTGTGTCATACACTACTCAGACCTTTGGTTGTTGGGCAGTTTACAAGTACAGTACATAAATGCATTAGGGGAATTGTAGATTGAATTTAATGTTCTCATGTTGTGGCAGGGTGAAGTTGAAATTAAAAAGGCTACTTGAGGGAAGCAAAGCTAGAATCCTGAGCAAGGGAGATTGGTTTCTCCTGTCTCACATCATGGTGGCCTCCCCCCACCTTTTGATTTTACCAAAGTAGACAAGGAACATGCTATCACAATTGGATTTCTTCTTTGTGGGGTCGGCCCCTCCATTGGCCAAGTGAGGCAAGTATTTCAAGCTGCAGAAGATGAGGGGCTGAGATTCATGATGTGGACTTGGAGGCCTGCTCTGTTTCCATTAACCAGCCTGTTGCCTTCCAGGGCTATGTTGTTGCCTATCGCAAACGCTTAAGTAAAATCCAGCTGCTAGTCTGTTGGCTTTGTGTATGAACTTGGTGGAGACACCATCTTGTCCTTTGACAAATGACTCGAGCTGTTCTAGGTGCTGCTAGTATTAGTTCTTTGAACCACTGGCCATTTAGTACACAGACACATCTATGCTCATATTGCCATCTTAAAAGTTGAATGTGTGAACTTGCCCTGCAGCATTAGACTGGAATGCAGGTTTACCATAAACACTGAATTATTCCATTGTAAAATTAGCTGAAAACACAGACATTGCTATTCTGTTCCTCCTCCTCCCCCACTTCAGGATTATGAGTTCTCTGGCATGATTGAATAATATATAATGGAGCCTTTATGCAGAAAACAATTCATTCTTTTATTCAGAGACAGGATTTCTCATTGCAGTTAAGTCCACTGAGTCAGGCATGCTAATGCTTACTGGATGCTAATGTGTGGTACATATTGCCATGCAATGGGAAAGAATCGTTTGTTTGTTTCTTGTTTCAGAAGCTGATCTCTGAAGTTAAAGTTCAGGTGGATAATACAGCCCAAGATATAAATGTCAATGTTACTGCAATCTGTCCTGATGGAAGTAGAAAAACAGGCTTGGAGGGATGCAAAAATGTGAAATCCGCAGCTGAAGTATGAACATTCCCTTATTCACGCAGGAAAGGAAATATTTTGTTAATGTTTCTTTAATAGTTTTTCAGTGGAAGAGGCCCTTTGTGTGGATCTAAAAGTAGATTTATGTGGGTCACAGTTTTAGGCTCTCCACTTGGTTACTAGATTATATTTCCTTAGAGGTTTATTTTAAATTGAATTGAATTGAACTGAATCTCAAGAATAATACAATTCTGCTTGAGGTTATCAATCAGTTCAAGCCAAGCTAGCAGATGTATTTTAGAATTTCCTTGTAATTCCAGAATCAGATTGTTCTGACTGTTCATATAGGGAAGACCTGACTGATTGAAATCTTTTAAATCAAGTTTGTGTAAAGGCATGCAGTTATTTTTAAAAAGAAAATCCACGTTATCATCTTGCCTTTAAAAGCAGTCATGCTGATTATAGAGTTCTTAATGGAGGGCCTTTAGAAGCATCTCTGTTTTTCTACAATACATTATTTCAACTTCTTTTATTTCTGATCATGTCAATTGCTGCAATAAGCTGCTTCTCGAACTCTCCCTCCCTCTCTCTCTCTTTCTGTGTGTGTGTGTGTGAGAGAGAGATACTTCTATGCAAAAACAGTCAGAGAATCCCTTGGTGATTAGGGAGCTCATGTGGATAACCAAGCAGATCAGTGCATGAGAAAGCATTTCCAATCTAAGTTACACATCAAAAGTAGTAGTTTTTAAATACCGTTGGGGCTTTTCTATGTAATGCAGTCAATCTCTGAAACTACTTGTGGTTTTGTCACAGTATTAAGATCTGAGTTATTCAGAAAGGCATCCCCCACACCTTACCTTTTCTTTTCCTTTGCTACATAACCACCACACAGAGCTGCATGGTCATAATATAACTCAAACACACAAGGAGAAGTAGAGCTATTTTCCCTGTTCAAATCTAATACCCCAGGCTTTTCTTCTAAAAGTAATGGGCAAGTACACAAAAAAGAAGCAGCAAAACCAGAGAATCTTGTCATGCAGAGTCCATAAATAACCATGAATAAGGAATTATGAGTGCCCATTAAGTGTATTGTGTGAAAAACCTGATAAAACCAGTAGTGTCTTTCTTTGGCTGGTGCAGCTTTTTCTTACAGAGGCAGCCCACTTTTGAAAATAAACAGTCATTGATGCAGGGAAAATATTTATTTTTAAAAGCACTCACTGTACAGGAAGTTCATCTTGCGCATAAATTACCCTTTGCTGACAACCTCAAAATGCAACATGTCAGCCAAGCATACCTTATAGTGTGATGATCACAGATGTGACTTTTAGCTGCACAAATCCATATTAGGAAATGTCTTTGTGAATTCAGTTTCCCAAGATATCTGGAAAAATCAGTTGCTTTTTGCATGTCAAATTACAAATTCTGTAGATATTTTTTCTAAACGCAAGTGTTATAGGTGTTGGGAAAACATCTATTGGAAAGTTGTCTAAAGAGAGAAATAAGATTCAGCAAGTGTTTGTTGGTTTCAAAGGAGGATTAATTCTATTTGGTCATCTTACCTGATTCATATGGTGGGCAAAATAAGAGCTGTCAGTGTTTTGAAAGCATGATGTTTAGAAATTAGTTGCATTTTCGACAGTTTCTACAAAGCCTTAATAAACCATTTGACAATAGAGAATGTAAATACTGTTTTACTTTTTATATCACAGGTGTTGTTCAATGTCTCCATTGCCATGAAAGAATGTGGTACAACTGAAGGAAGAAAATATGTGATGATAAAGCCCCTAGGTTTCAATGAATCCACCAGAATTAATATACATAGAAGGTGTAATTGCCAGTGTGAGGATACCACAAAGCACAAAAGAATATGTGTCAGTGAATTGCTGCAAGATGCTGAAATGTCCAATTGCAAAGGCAGTACCTGTGGTTCCAATGAAGAAGTATTTTTGGAGCAGTGCAAAATGCAAAAGAACCATCTTATCTGTAATGGACGAGGAGACTGTGTAGGTGGAAAATGTATTTGCCACAAAACCAAACTTGGTACGGTATATGGTAACTACTGTGAAAAGGATGACTTCTCCTGCTCTTATTACCTTGGAAACTTATGTGCGGGTAAGCTCCAGAATGTTGCTGTTTTTTCACCCATTCTGCTTGGGTACTGCTTTAATTTTATTTAATGTTTGTGTACTTACAGCACCATCAGTATGCACAGTGTCATACAGAGCTATATAGGCATATATTGATAGGACTTATGCCCAAGAAGTTTACAGTGTAAAATACAGAATGAGAATAGATGCTAGGACAATTTGGGAGGAAAGGATGGGTGTGGAGATGTTTTATCTATGCCTTCTCAAAAGCTCGGTTGTACTTGGCAATAAGGATGATGGAGGATAAACCAAAGACAAAAGGTGACTTTAGAAGCTATTTAGAAGCTATTTGGAACATGAAATGCTGCATGTTTAAGCTGGATACAAAAAGGAGGGGATGCTCAAGGAAGAGAAGATCATACTGCAAATTTATATTGGCTACCAAAGTGCACCAAAGAATTTCAGAAGAAGGCTAGTCTATGCTTTATGAACTACAGCAGAGCCTTTGACTCTGTGGACCATGAGTGCTATAAATGGTCCTTAAAGAAATAGGGATGTCTCAGCACTTGATTGTCCTGATGCAGTCTGTATCATGGACAAGAAGCTACTGTTAGAACAAAATATGGAGAAACAGGATGGTTTCCCATAGGCAAAGGCATCAGACAAGGGTGTATTTTATCTTCCTATCTGTTCAGTCTGTGCACAAAGTAAATCCCAAGGAAAGCTGGATTACAATCACAGAAAGGAGTGCCAGAAGACACATCAGTAATGAAAGCTATGCAGATGATACAGTACTTCTGGCAGAGAGCAACAATGAATTGAAATGAAAGAAGAAAGTGAACGTGAAAGAAGAAAGTGCAAAAGCAGGATTGCAGCAGAACATTAAGAAAACAAAACTCATTACAACAGAAGAATGGCAGAAATTGAAATTATGAAAGATTTCACATACCTTGAGTAAGTCATCAATTTGAATGGAAACTGTAGCCAAGAAATTTGAAGAAGACTGAGTCTTAGAAGGGCAGCAATGAAGGAACTAGAAAAGATCAAGTGTAAGGACATTTCTTTGGAGACCAAACCCAGGATTGTCCACACAATTGTATTTCTGATCACTATGCATAGGTATAAAAACTGGATGGTGAAGAAAGCTGCACAGTGAAGAAAGCTGAAAAAAAGGTAATTGGGTCATTCAAAGCATGGCGCTGGAAGAGAGCTCTGTGAATACCCTGGACTGACAGAAAGTTGAATAAATGGGTCCTAGATCGAATGAAACCAGATCTTTCGCTAGAAGCAAAATGAGAATACTGAAAATGTCATACTTTGGACACACCATAAGAAGGCAAAACTCTCTGAGGGGAGTAAACATGCTAGAGAAAGTAAAAGCCAGAAGTAGAAAAGGAAGACCCAATATGAGATTGGTTGACTGCATAAAGGAAACCACAGCTTTGAATTTACAAGAGCTGAGCAGGGTTGTCACGGGTAGGACATTTTTTGGAGGGCTTTCATTCATAGGGTCCCCATAAATTGGAGACAACTTGATGGCACATAACAAAAATAGGAGCTGGGATATAAAGAAAAGAAGAGCTGAAGGACCACATGCGTGTCCTGAACATGGCTGTGCTGCCTAGGCATCATGGGAGTTGTAGTCCAATGACTCTGGGAGGCATCAGGCTGGGGAGGGCCAATATAGAAGTTTAGTGAGTAACACTATCAGGTTTCACTCTTTACTCTTTGTGTTTATAGGCAATGGTGAATGTGAGTCTGGCAAATGCAGATGCTTCAGTGACTGGGAAGGTGATCGTTGCCAGTGTCCATTGTCATTAAGAAAGCACTGCATGGATTCAGATGGTCAGATCTGCAGTGGAAGAGGAACATGTGTCTGTGGAAGATGCAAGTGCACTGAACCCAGCAGTTTTGGCCATTTATGTGAATTCTGCCCTTCCTGTGGAACAACGTGCAATGATAAGCGGTATGTGGTGCAACTGAAACATATGCATATCCCAAAGCAGGTATGGGCAGTGTACATTCCACTAGCCCCCAAGTCTTGCCCACTCTGTGCAGTCCCCTGCTGCTGAATTGTAGCATCGCACAAGTGGGTTGGTGCTTCCAGGAGCAAACGGTATGTTGACATAACCTGTGTAAAGGCATGGTCTTGAAACTTCCAGACTGAGTGTATGTGCGTTGTTCAGGGCATTGCCGTGTGGGGTCTACCTTATTAGCACACATTATGACCCATAGCATTTACCCAGGATCCTTTAAGGGCTTAGAATCTATTTCTCTCTCTCTCTCTCTCTCTCTCTTTCTGCCTCTCCCTCTTTCCAATTCTCTGTCTGTCTTTGTTTGATTGCAACAGGAATTAGGATTGCATTGTTAATCAGAGATGTCTTGTAGTAGCTGAATATATTACTTGGTCTTCAATCCTATTCAGCACATACACACAAGAAAGATAGATAGCCTAACACACGCACACACTTTACTGAGTTTAAGCTCTTGTCCCTATGCTTTGCCTGAGATTTTTGAAGGCCCTAGCTTTGGGTAGAAGGGCCTTGCAAAATGCTCAATTCCAACCCAGTGAAGTCACGAGCTGATGTCACATGCCATGACCTACTACACATCTAGTTTGCTCATGACTGGCAACTAAGGCACGCTTACTAGTGTTAACACAAGCATGGACATTCTCACAACTTTGGACACTTTCAAGTGTTCTCAGGCCACAACGCCTACAATTATCTAAAGCAAAGATTGTGCTTCAAAAGATAATTAGAAGCACTTTTCCCATTTTCTTTCCTGGGAGTCCTCATGGGTTGCATATGTCCATTAGGCTTTACTGTGGTAACCCCTGTCCTACAATTTTAGTTTTCTGAGAAGTAGTATTTTTACACTGCATCTATATCCTGTCTTTTTCCTCTTCTCAGGAACCCATTATGCCCAATCCTTCTCCAGTCCATTTTATTCTTAGAACTACAACACTGTGGGATAGGTTAGGCTGAGAGGGTCTGGCCCAAAATAACCTAGTGAGCTGCATGCCTAGGTGGGGACTAGAACCCACATCTCCCTCGCCTTTTTAGCATGCCCCTTGTGGATCATCTGTGAACTATCCAGCAAGCGTAGACTACTGAGAATTAAATGAAGATGAAATACTGAGAAGAGCTTTGAAACTTCTGAATCTTTAATGATGCAGACATCATGTCAGTTAAGAAATTTTAAGTCCCAGTCATTCTTCTCTGCATATATTGTGAGGAGGAAGAGGAGTAGGACTACAGTTTTGACTTACTTTTGTAGTTGCCATATTCTTTCTCATGCTGCTCAGACAAAGAAATGTTGCGTCCCTTGCTTTCTACATTGCTAGTAAGAAGACAAAATGGTGAATCAACGAGATATACAGCCGGCTTCGTAGAATTGTGTACCTAAGAGAAAAATAACATGGAAGAATCCATTCATTTTCATTGAAAATGTTTCATTTTGCCTTGCAGACATTGTGTGTCCTGTCATCACTCCAATTCGTCTCAGATCACACTTGATCAGTGCAGATCCTCATGTGCTTATCGGCTACATTATACTGAACAGTCTTCAGGTAAGTAGTGGAATCGGCCATGCTTCTACCTAAAGATGTCTTCTTGCAACAACAAGTTTACATGAAATCACATGATGTTCTCCCCTATTTGGTGATGAATTGCCAAGTATATTGAAAATATGCCTCTTGAGGCATGGTTTTTCTGCTTCCCATTCTTCTGTCTGTAGGTTACCAAAATGATTAGAATCATTTTGGTTGCATATCAAGCAGACTGGTTTTTTTTCCTGGGTGGGTCAAAGCGTGACTCGAATACTACAGAAATGGAGTCCTAGAACTAAAGTGCCAACACTTAGACTTTTGTTTTTGTTCTTGTTTTTTGTGAGATTTTATTGTTGTTTACTATAGACAGCATTCAATTCTTTAATTAATATTTATATTTTCATGCAGAAACTACAACAAAGATATTTTCTCTAGGAAAAGGAAAACCTAAAAAGCAGAAATACAACAGGCTAGTGTTGGCTTGATGTCAAGGGTCAGGCATTTCTAGATCACTAAGAAATTAGTTTTGCTAATGACAAAACCAGCCAAAGTAATACAAAATGAAATGTTTCTATAAGCCTGTCATTATTGTCCATATGTCTTCCTTTCTTCTTATATGTTTTTGTTGCTATTGTTTTAATCAAATTTTATTTATGATTGCAAGCTAACTTAGGTGGCATTTTTTCTTGGGAGAAAGGCAGGGCACAAATCAGTCACTCAATCAAATGAACTGAACCACTGGAATTTGAACCCTTGTAGGTGTTATAGCTAATACCTGTAGGCACTAAATATAAATTTAAATGATACGCACTGGGGCAAAAAGTCCAAAGTCCAAATATAAATCTGTGGAGTTTGAGCTAGACATAGAAAGAGATCTTAATGTGGGCAACTTGATGGAAATACCAACCCTATGTGTGGTTGCTGTGAAAAGGTTAAAAACAGCATTGGACACAATAAGAAAGGAATGGAAAATACAGCTGCTACAATCACAGCACTCTTACCAATCCATGATGTAACCACACTTGGAATACTGTACTCAGTTCAGATCACTGTGCCTAAAAATGATATTATAGAATTGGAGAAAAATGCAGCAAACAGCAACCAAAATGATCAAGGCCAGGTGTAACTCCTGTCTGGGATTCTTTCACATGCAAGTATGAGGGGACATGGTAGAGGTTTAAAAATTACGCATGCTATGGAGAAATTAGATAGGGAGACATTTTTCTTCCTCCCATAATACAAGAAAGCCAGGGGCATGCCACGAAGCTGAATGGTGGAGATTCAGGACAGATAAGCAGGGAGATCCAGGCCACACTGCTTCAAACAGCCCAAACAATGGAATTTACTTCCACAGCTCTGGCAATGGCCACCAATTTGGATGGCCTTAAAAGGGCAAATTAGTGGAGAATAAGACTGGACACTAGTCCTCATGGGTATATGTAGCCCTCCATATACCTTCAGAAAAGGTAACCCTTCAGAAAGGGTTAGTTCATTCTGTAAGATACAACACTAAAATGTATTGGCTGGAGAACATTTATAATATATAATTTTTTGTGGGATAGAGAAGTCACTTATCTGTCCCCTGCTTTCAGTAAAGTCATGATCTAGCCATGGTTTTAGCTGTGACATAGGATGTTAGTAATATAATCTGTGCTCTCAGCTGATGCTTTTTTCTTGGCACACAAAGCACATATCAGTGGTATTATGGTAAACTTTTCTTATTAACATGTTTGCCTTGTTTTAGATACCACTTCTTATTTGCCATAACAATTCCATAATGAAATTGTTTAACCATATAAAATTCTGAGTCACATCTATTAGAATGTCGCTTTCTGAGTTAGAATTAATGCACATACCTTTTGAGACAACACAAACTTTAAATATTGTTTTTTATTGCAGAATGCATTACTGATGATCCAAGCCACTTCAAGATCTTTCTCATAATCTTTGTAATTACATTTCTGATTGGGTTGCTTAATGTACTTATAATCTGGCGGATAATGCTGCAGTGGAACAATTATAAAATTAAGTCCTCAGCTGATTGCAGAGTGCCTGCAACCAAAAAGGTAACTGATGGTAGTGACCCATAATAAATGTTTTTCTTGAACATAAAAATGGTCGGTGTGAGAGGCTTTCTGACCAGTTATATCTTCTCCTTCAAGGACAAGACATTCTTGCCTGCTGTTTGTACAAAAACAGTGACCTACAGACGTGATCATCCTGAAGAAATAAACATAAATGGCAGCAAGTTGCAAGTAAAGGAAACTTTCAAATGCAGCTCCTGAAGACAAGACTGTTTTCTTCAAAACTGCTTTCACAGTCAAGAAAGTTATTTGAAAGATCTTGCCTGATACTTGGGGCTTTATGGTTTTGAATACTATGATGAGTGACCTGGAAGTCTAGTTGCACAACATGGCTAGATCGCAAGTAGAGCTGCTCCAGTTTGAAAACTAAATGTGCATTAACTACTGATTAACATAATGGCATTGCTTCTTAAAGCTGAGATAGTTGGACTGGGAGCCAATTCAATCCCCTTTGAGATCAATAAATGATTGGCGCAGACTTAAGTGTTCTGGCTTAAGTGGGCGTTATATTGGTTTGCAAGACCACTCTGCGTTGTGGCACTTTAACATAATGTAACTTATTAGTTTGGCGTAGAATGTTAATCTAAACTAGGGTGATGAAAAGCACTGATCTCACTTTAGAGGTAGCTAGTACAGGTTTGATCTATGACAGGGATTCCCAAACTGTGTTAAGAAAAATGGAGCTGGTATACATAAGTGACCAGTCAGCTGTCAGTTCCTACTCCTGTTCTGAGTTCTAGGAACAAACAGAATAGAGGAAGAGAAGGCAGGCTGACAGGGAGACGACCCTGGGAATCCAGAAGGTTCAATTAAAAATGGCAGTTCCTTAGCACCAGCAGCACTGACGATCAAGCCTAAATATCTTACATTGCACTAATTCAGGGGAGATGGATGAATAGGTTTGCATTCATTCTGCTCCAAAGACACTAACAACGCACTCCTAAAAATGTTTACTCTCAAGTAAGCAACACTGACTTCTGTTAGGCTTACTCCCAGGCGGATAGGCACAGAGTAGCAGCCTTGGACTACAATCCTAAATGTAAAACTAAGGTGGGGGTGGGGGGTTATGTAAGCTACCTTGAGTTCCTTGAAAGGAAAAAGGCAGGCTGTAACTGTAATAAACAAACAAGAAACACTTCATTTGAAGCACGTGCTTTGGTTATCTGTCAAACGTGTATCTAAATATGGGCTGCAAATGCTTAGAGGCTCCTCGGGGAAGTGGATTTCTTCTGATCAGGGGTGGCCTTACTATTAGGGTGACTGAGGCAATCTCCTGGGATGGCAGATGCTGGGAGGTGGCAGTAGAGTCTTGGAGGACAGAGCCCTGGGCGGTATGGCCCGCCTTACATCTCTAAGCTAGCCTGCAGCCCTTGGGAATAGTGGAGGACGATGCTGTAACTGCTCCAGAAGGATTTTGCCACCAGTCCAGTCGGCTTTTGTATATGGGATGAGATGCAACACTTTAGGCAGCAAAATGCATTGGACCAGCCCTGGTAGGAAAAGTCACAAGCTGAAGACCTTTTTCTCTATGTAAATGAGAAAGGCATATAATAATACAAACAATGGTGCATTTTGGAGAACACTAGATGAAGCTACAAATCTGTTAGCATACAGTGCACATTTCATCTAGTTTTTTTCATTTGCGCTGAGGTCTTTCTGCAATCTGATATAACTGTTTATGTAAAAACATGGAAGAAAGAAAGAAAGAAAGAAAGAAAGAAAGAAAGAAAGAAAGAAAG